TACACTGAGTACGCTGAATACTGTACTCTGTATCGTCCCAAATTCTGAGACGATACGGGCGTATTTTAAATTGTGTACTCGCCGGCCGAGTACAATGTACTTGTATCGTACTTGTTGACTAGGGTGATACGACGTACTCGAGTACACACGTACTCAAAACAAAGTACAGTACAATGTAATGCGAGTACAATACGTGTATCGTAATGGTTGCACCGTTGCATGTATCACTCCATGTATCTGAGCCCCAATAAGAAAAAAAAATATCTGACCAGTGTGGTTTTATTTGAAAGGAGATTATGTTTTTTGTCCATGAAGCTTTGTAGAATTACCCATGATACACACAGTGTATTGTATCTATTACATCATTGTGTGAATGAAATGAATCTGAGTTGAAGAGTGTTGCTTGAATATAGCTTTTGAAATCAGCCTGTCAGTCTGATTCTGAAATGAATAGTGTTTGGCAGATCTGTCATCTAGTATTACACATGTGACATGGGTCCTTCAACACAATACATCTATGTTTTTCATACTTGTTTTGCATGGATATCCATTTGGTAATTTTTTTTCTTTTTGAGGTGTTTGGCTATATTTAATTATCCAACTAATAGAAATAATGAAGAAGTCAAAACCATTTTTTTCAAAGGGTTATTATGTCATTTATGTATATATGCTAGAAAAGTAATGAGAGACAGTTCTCCACTTTTCTGTATGTAAAGGTAGTACCACACTGGATCTCTGGTAGTATAAAAACAGTTGATTGGTGTGTCTCAAAAAGAGTATTACATTTTGAACATGCCATTTTGTAGGTCTTTTGGTTGAGTTTGATATCTCTTTCCCCTTGTTTCCCTTGTCAGAATTTCAAAACACAAGCTGCTGGTGTCTCCAATTGTGATACGTTTAGTTTCATAATGCTACTTTATACACAGAGATGATCCCACACTCCATGCTGACAAGAGAAAATCTGGCAGACATATTAAATATAAAGAATTTATTGAGATGTGTCCAAAAGAGTATCATATTTTGAACAAG